TGCAGTATTCATCTGAAAAGGACAGAGTCCAGTGCAATTTTACAAAAACTTGATTCTCTGTCACCTGTAAAGTGTTCATTGGCAAGCTAGCATTCTAATGAAAAACTGAAGTTGTGTGTAAACAGTTGAACACCGACTCCAGCAGGATCTCAAGGGGCAAGTAGTTTAGGTTTTCAGGGAATATATGCTAAGTAACATCTTGCAGTTGCATATGATCTGCACATCAATGAGAGAGTGATATGATGAAACTTCATAATAGTTTTGCTATATTCTCATAACCATATGCTTTATATAATGTATATATTTCTCTTAAACACATCATAAGATAATGCTATCATATTATGAGGTAAAACAAGCAAGTGGGAGTAGGTTGATTTCTTGTGAAATATTTAAAGCCTTTTGCTGATTTTATATTTTATAGAATTTTTTTTGTTCTTTTATATAGTAATGCTTACTGTTAAAGCCACTTTATATTTGTAATAATTTTGTGAGTTAGACATATTGTTATATAATTTAAAATCCTCAAGGTTTTTTACATTTGATAGTAAATAATTTGTGACAACTGATATTTAAAATGTTTTCAATGATTTTCTCTTTAAAGCATACTCTTTCTAAGTCTCTGTAAAATAATTTATTGTAAGATCATTTTGTTGGTAGAAAAAAAGGTGCAAAATGTTAGGGAGAGAAACAGTTCTGGATCAGTGCCCACGCTCTTTTTGCAGGGCTTTTGCGTTTGTGTGCAGCTGTGAAGCGCCACCTTCTGGTCATTCAGCAAAATGCATCTTACAAATGTATTCCAGATGCTGAACAGCCCTGAGGGCTGCTATTCTACCTCCCTGCTGCTATGTTATACTTGCTGACAATGCTAGACTACCAATTAATAAATTAGTGTATGTTTAATTTTCTTTTCCTTGTATCGTAGAAATTGATGATGTGGTTTCTAATAGAACAAAAGCATATGCTTAATACAATTTTTGTTATTAAAGGAAAAGATAAGCCTTTTATCTGTTTTGAAATTCAAGATTTACTAAAACTATACAAATGAATTAGTATTGAACCATTTTTAAAGTTGCAAAAATACCACGTATGGGGAGAAAACTTTTTCTGGGTATATGTTTAAGTGACAATTCTATATGCCATTTGCAGAAATGGTATATAGTGTTTTCCTCCTTAATCATAAATTTAAGTCCTGAAACCTTCAAGAGTAACATGTAACATTTTAAATGAAAGCATTCTCTTCTTGTACTTTTTATAAACATTTTAATATAAATTATAAATTTTTATTTTTTTAATGCAATGCTGTTTGGGCCTCTTTATGTTTCCTTTTAAAGTATGTCAAAAATTCATATTTTGATATTAACTTCCTGAATTCTACAATTAATAGCAGTGGCAACTATGTAAACTTTAAAGAAAAATGTCATAAATCATTAAGACACACAAACTTCCTCTTTAACATAGGAAAAAATCAATTACAGAAAATATTGTTTCTTGACTATTTGTATTTTTTTACTCTGTATCAAATATATCATTTTTTCTCTTTTAACATATTGTATTATACAAATCTTCTTATGCTAGATATAATATTTTCCAAAGTAGAAATGCATACACAGCATTTATTCAGCACAGTAGCCAAAACATAATAAGTCTTTCAAAAAAAATATGTTCAAATGATTTGATTACCACTTCTTTAAAACCTACCAGGCAAAATTTGAGAGAAGCTGAGGAGATAGCTGGTGCTACATCGTGTCGCGTGATGGGAGGGCCCAGGAAGCCAGACCTTCTCTTGTCACACACTCACTGTTTAAATTCTCTGCTTAGCCCTTTTTACTGTATTGTTATGGTTTATTTATTTATTGGTTTATTTTCTACCTCAACTACCAGAATGTCAACACTTTGGGAGTAGGGCCTTACCTGTGTCTCATCTACCTTCTCCCCAGGGCCTATAGTTCCTGCCACTTAGGAGATGCCCACTAAATACTTGTCAGTTGTTATTGAATAGCTAGCATTATCGGTGACACAAAATTATTACTTTAATTTATTAGGTTAGTGCAAAAGTAATTGTGGTTTCATACCGTGAATTTTAAATCATTATAACTAGGCTCAAACACATCTTTATTAGTCAAAATAGGAAACATTACAGTCAACACATTTTTGCCAATAAGAAATAAGTTTGTTTATTCCTGTAGCATAAAAATCCATTCTTTGGGATTCAGCAAACTCTTGGAAAGCATTTTCCACATCCTGTTGGTTGTGGAAGCGTTTTCCCTGCAAAATATTGTTGAGATGCTTGAAGAAGTGGCAGTCAGTTGGCAAGAGGTCAGGTGAATGTGGCAGAGGAGGCAAAACTTCGCAGCCCAATTCGCTCAACCTTAGAAGTGTTGGTTGTGTGATGTGCAGTCAGGTGTTGGTTGTCGTGGAGAAGAATTGGGGCCTTTCTGGTGACCAATGCTGGCTGTAGGCATTGCAGTTTTCCATGCACCTCATCTATTTGCTCAGCATACTTCTCAGATGTGATGATTTCACTGGGATTCACAAAGCTGTAGTGAATCAAACTGGTTGCAGACCACCAAACGGTGACCATGACCTTTTTTTTGGTGCAAGTTTGGCTTTGGGAAGTGCTTTGGAGCTTCTTCTCGGTATAGCCACTAAGCTGGTCATCACTGGTTGTTGTATAAAATCCACCTTTTGTTGCACACCACAATCCGATTGAGAAATGATTCATTGTTGTTGCATACCAGAAGAGAAGTCAACACTTCAAAACGATGATTTTTTTGGATTTTCAGTCAGCTCATGAGGCACCCACTGAGCTTTTTCACCTTTCCAATTTGCTTCAAATACCGAATGACATAGAATGGTTGACATTGAGTTCTGCAGCCTTCTCGTGTAGTTGTAAAATCAGCTTCAATGACTGCTCTCTATTGGTCGTTGTCAACTTCCAATTGCCGGCCCCTGTACTCCTCATCTTTAAGGCTCTCATCTCCATTGCAAAACTTCTTGAACCACCACTGCACTGTATGTAGCAGTTCCTGGGCCAAATGTGTTGTCAATGTTCTGAGTTGTCTCCACTGCTTTACAGCCTGTTTTGAACTCGAATAAGAAAATCTCTCGAATTTGCATTTTGTCTAACATCATTTCCATAGTCTCAAATAAATATAAAGTAAACAACAAATAATAATTCATTAGCAAAAAATCATAAAGAAATGCACATTAAAATGATGTATAACATAGCCACATTTATTTAAGAATGTACTCCTGTATCAAATGACAAATGTCAACAAAGCTAAAACTGTACTTTTTCATCAACCTAATATTAATGTGTTTTTTAGCACCTAAAAAATCTGTAAGGTTTTTTTGGCCGGGCGCGGTGGCTCACGCCTGTAATCCTAGCTCTTGGGAGGCCGAGGCGGGCGGATTGCTCAAGGTCGAGACCCCGTCTCTACTATAAATAGAAAGAAATTAATTGGCCAACTGATATATATATATATAAAAATTAGCCGGGCATGGTGGCGCATGCCTGTAGTCCCAGCTACTCGGGAGGCTGAGGCAGAAGGATCGCTCGAGCCCAGGAGTTTGAGGTTGCTGTGAGCTAGTCTGACGCCACGGCACTCACTCTAGCCTGGACAACAAAGCGAGACTCTGTCTCAAAAAAAAAAAAAAAAAATCTGTAAGCTTTTAATATTCTGTTAAGTTGTAAAATAAGGAATATAATTTTTTAGTGAATTATTCTTAGTGAATAATATCAGTCATTTCTATTTATATAGAGGGAGTTATTTGTGGAAGGTTCAATGACTGTGGTAAATATGGAGATAGAATATTTAGCTCTCAGTCTGGAGAGTGTAGCAGTCTGTCATGGAGATAGGCAATTTGTACCTGTTCACAAATAGCACTTCACTAGAAGTCAAACAAAACGTGAAGTTAACTAAACCATGTACATTCGAACTGCTGTCAGAAAGCAGAACCACAGAGCACACTTTAGATAGGTAATGGTGACAGGTGCCTTTGTGCAGTAGCTGTAGTTCAAGTTGAACCTTTAAGGATGAGGGTTTAATGGATGAAGAGGAAAGATGAATGAGGCCTTTCCAGTGGAGAGGATAGCAAATAAGGCAGGAGAATGCAAGGTGTAATTTTGTGTGGAGAATATTTAAGTGTCCTATCACAGTGCTTTAAATTCTCTGTAAATTTTCAGTGGAATTCAGTTTATTTTAAAGATCTTTGGATGCTCAGCTAAAGAGCTGAGAGTGATGTTTATAGACTGATAAGGCAGATGTTACCACTTCAAGCCAATGTCCTTACGGTACTACTCCTTTAGCAACGTAGAATTCCGTTTCTAACAGCTCTTGAGATCCATTTTAGAAAAATTGTTTTCCAATTCTCAGCATAATTTGGATTGAAAACATTGGTGTAGATTTTATCCTGAGGGTTTTCTGGAGGACTTCTAACATCAAGAAAGTAGTATTTGAGTGTGCGATTAATCTAGGACAACAAAGATAATTTCTTGACAATACTAAAATGTTTTGGCTTCTGGAATATTAGTGGTGGGAGGTGAAAAGGATCCAAACTAGGTCACTGACCTCAGAAATAGAAACAGGGACTCAAATCCCACCCTCCAAAGGAAGGAATGATGGGATGTGCATGTAAAGTGTGGCATCAGAGAAGATTTGTGCTATAAAAATCTGTTATAAATCAGCTCCATTAAAAGAAATAGAAGAGTCTGAACTTGATGACTTCCTTTCCCAAGTGCCAATAAGTTGTTTTACCAAATGTGACTTCTCCTAATTTTTATGTTCACAGCATCACCCACCCTTTCCTCCCCCTAGGTTTTGCTGAACTGGGAGTAACATTTAAAATCCATTTAGAGAAAATACTTTTTATTTTACTTAGTAAATGTTTTATTTAAGATTGGAACAACTGAGCAAGGTAAAGCCTCAGAGAAGCCTTCCGTTAAACCAACTAGATAAGAATGCTTAGAGCACGTGTAAGTATCTCCTCTTCTCTTCCAGGTAATCCAGGCCTGCACAGCCCCATGCTGGATCCTGACACTGATGTCCGTCCCTCAGTGTTGGGTCATCTTGGCCAGACATCGTCACTGAAGAGGGGCAGCAGCTTTCAGTCTGGCCGAGATGACGGTGAGTATCTCCCCCCACTTCTGCATGGTGTTTTAAATTTGTACTAGTGTAATTTCAAACATTCTTCTCTTGGAAAATCTCCAAATATGTGTTGTTCCTTGTGCTAAATATTGCTAACCATCATCTCTTGTGCTTATTAAAGTACCTACCTGGTAACTAAACTTAAATAATTAAAATATATTGTACATTTTACCTTAAAGAAATGCTATTTGATTTTTTTACAAAATGTTCAGTGTTTATTCAACATATTTAGTTAAAGTCTAGTTTTATTTTTTCTGTGGTTGAATTTTTTTAAAGAAATGCTACAGAAAAAAGTCTGTGAGAACTTCTTTAAGATGAAGTTTGCAACAAAGTAATGTCTATAGTCAGTATTACTTTTTCAAGGAAATTTAAACTGTGGTTTAGAAAGGAGGATTGGTTGTTAATTAACCATAAAGTAATCATTAACCAGTTTTTCCTAAGATAAAGCATCTAAAATTGTAACTATATTGCATTTCTTAACTTTCTGAAGCAGATATTTACCTATAAAGAGACATAAAATGTATTGGCTATAATGCATTCATATATCAAATTAGATGCAATGAGTCACTATAATCTCAATAACAGATATTTAATATAAGAAACTCAAACAGAGTAATAGAAATACCTTACCTTATATTAAATTCAAATATCTCTAAAGTTTATTTTAAAGTACTTTATATTTCTTATAAGTATTAGAGTAAGGAATTTTTCTAGAGTTTTATTAATAAATATGAATGTCCATCATAATACCTTAAATTAGATGATTCATTTGTACTAAATAAAGGGCTTCTGTAACTGTCAGTACTCCTTCCTGTTGTCCTGTCCCTGCCCAGCCCGCCAGCACCAGTACAGTCAGTGACAGAACAGAACTGTTTCCTTCTACAGTCTGTGCTGCAGTGTCACCATGGAGCCCACTGGGCTCATGCGGTCTCTGACTCTGGAGTGCAGCCCACTGCAGTTTTTAAAAACATTTCAGATTTCTCTTAGTTATTATAGTAGGGCAATATGTCAGGTTTAAAAACTTTCCACCAGCTCCTTCCCTATCCTCACGGAATTTACTACCCTGAGTTCTCATAGCAGTAGGCTTGGATTCATTAGAAACTACATTTGAGGCTGACTGCGATGAATCGCATCATCTTGAACCATTCAAATTTATCCTGCCTGGGTTTTACCAAGCTACTTGGACCTATCTTATTATCAATCTTTGGAAATATTTGTTGAGTTTGTAAAATTTTCAGCCATGATTTTCTCATGCGTATTTCTGCCTGCTCCCTCCCTAAGGACTCTGATTACATGTGTTTTGTCAGTAGATTATTCCATGAATTACTGAGGCCCTGTCTCCTCAAGGCCTGTTGTTAATCTCTGCTAGAGCTGGTCTAGCATAGCCTTAATTCTGGGGATACTTCAGCCCGACTACCAAGGCATGACCCTTTGTGTCTCTAGTAGGGTGTCTACTACGTCTAGGAAATTGTTAAGAGCAAGTTACCCTGGTTGTTTGAAGCTAGAAAGCCTCACTGTCCTGTATGATCTCTAGGAATTATTGAGCTTAAAGTTCTTTGGCCATTCTTTGTCTAGGGTTGTGAAGTTGTGCTCCACATATACATGGCCTAGCCTTCAGCAAAGACTGAAGAAGACCCCTCTGCAGCTTTCTGGAGCTTTTTTCCTACATAGCTCCCTCCCTTCCTGAACTCTTCCCTGCAGTTTCCCATCACTTCGGCCTCCTTGAACTCCAGTCCCCTTGTTTCCAACTCAGAAAGGCCACCGAGCCTTGCTGTGGTTTGTCCTACTTTGCATCTGTTGTCCAGAAAAGGGCAGAAAGCCCAGGTGGCTGTGGAGCTTGCCACATGTGTCCCCTCCCTCAGGTCACAGGCCTGTGCTGCCTTCTGTCCAGTGTCTGAAAACAGTTGTTTCATAGTGTTTTCCAGTTGTTTGTGGCTGGAGGTTAAATCTAAGGCATGTTACTCCAGCATGGCCAGAAGTGGAAGTCAAATAAATCAAGTTTAATTTTCCCCAAATTATGGCTTGTGTTTGGAACATTATGAAGGATTGCCTACAGTAAACCATAGGTATGAATAGAGTTGAGGAAGCTCATTCTCAACTTTGTGATCAAAGCAAAATTCCTGAGCCTACATAGTTTATGATTTCTGTCGAAAAAAGTTGGACATTCCTTCCATATCCCTTTAGTTCCTTTCATCATTCTTAGGAAATTGCTCTTGATTATTCTGTCAGTGATATGTCATGTAGGCCTTTAGGACATGTTGGATTCAGTAAGGAAAAAACAAAACTCATTTTTTAATTATAATGAACAAAATTTGGATAAAGTAGACTTAGAAGGAATGGGGGGAAAGAACTCTCAATAGATATATGCATACATACACACATGTGAAAAATTTGCAAGTAATAAAATTTGCAAGTAATAAATTTGCAAGTAATAAAAAGATAAATACAACACTAAGAATGTTAAGATGCTAAGAATTGTTCTCTGTCACTGGACAGGAGATCACAGGAGCCCAGCTGTCTCTAAGAACCTTGATAATTAAGCACCAGTATGTGGGGTAATTACAGCACCTCCAGCTCAGTAGGGTTACCTGGCAACACTGTATAGTAGCTGTCCTGACACACCATACTATGGTGAACTCAAACGAAATAATTTTACCGATTAATCTGCCATAAAAAGATTTAGGCAAAGGGATCTTCTTGGAAGCCTTTTGGAATTAGTTTGCTATATTCTTATTTATAATTGTCTAAAGACTTTTCTTATCATAAAATCATTTCAATTAAAATACTTAGTAATTGATGCATTTAACAAGAGAGAAACTGAGTTTATTTTCTGTTTATTTTGTGACTTTTAAAAAGGAATTTTTCTTTTAAAACAGTGAAAAGGCAATGTTTTGTCTCTTTTTCTTGGAGTGGGGAGTAATCTCCATGACGTGCTCCTTGACACCCAGTGGTGCCATCTATAGAAGAGATGTGCATATGTAGAACATATATAGATATGGGTGGATAGATAATGGTCTTCTACTTATGAAGGGGTTATGTCCCAATAAATCCATCTTAAGTTGAAAATATCATAAGTTTGAAATTGCATGTAATACACCTAACCTCCCAAACACCATCGCCTCCCTTAAATGTGCTCAAAGCACTTACTTGAGCCTATATTTGGGCAAAATCATCTAACACAAAGTCTATTTTATATTAAAGTGTTGAATATTTATTGAATACTGTACTGAAAGTGGAAAACAGAATGCTTATATTCTACTGAATGTATATTGCTTTCATATCATCTTGAAGTCAGAATCATCAGTCAAACCATTATAAGTCAGGGGACCATTTGTACATGTGAAATATAGTAATGTATGTGGCATAATGACATTTCCGTCAATGGTGGACTGCATATGTGGTGGTGGTCCCATAAGATTATAATGGAGCTGAAAAATTCCTAATGCCCAGTGATGTCATGGCCGTCCTAATCTCTTAGTGCATTTACTTTATTTTTTATAAATTTAATGTAGCCTCAGTATATGGTGTTCATATAATATGAAGTCTTCAATAGTGTACAGTAATGTCCTAGGCCCTCACATTCACTTACCAACTCACCCAGGTGACTCCCAGTCCTGCAAGCTCCATTCATGGTAAGTGCCCTATAAAGATGTCTCATTTTTTATCTTTTATACCATATTTTTGCTGTACTTCTTCTGTGTTTAGATACATAAACGCACTATGGAAGTGTTGTGTTAAAGTTGCCTGTGATATTCAGTACAGTAACATGCTACACAGGTTTGTAGCCTAAGAGCAGTGGGCTATACCATAGAGCCTAGGTGTGTAGTAGGCTATACTGTCTAGGTATGTCTAAGTACACTCCATGACGTCGTACAACGAAATCGCCCAATAAGGCATTTCTCAGAATGTATCCCTGTCCATAAGCGATACATGACTGTACGTGGCTACATAGTGTGCCAGACCAGATCACGCAAAGAGCTGGTCCAGGTGCAATGCCAACAGGGACTTGAGTTGCACTTAGATTATTTTCACTTTAATTTCCCAGCAGACAAGCCTTGCAAATGATTTATGAGATAAGGGTATAGATGAGCTTCTCACAGTTGGGGCATACAAAATAGTGTTCAATATAGCTGCTCAGAGGAGCTGAGATCTTTTGAAACATTATTTTGGGTCTATTTGCTACCATGTAAGGCAGATCTTTTAATGCTTCCATTTTTAGATTTGCTTGTCTTATTTTTTTACTTTGTCATTGGATCCCAGGATACACCTGGTCATGGCCTATCCTCTCTTGCATGCTGCCTGCCTCTTAGAAAGCAGTCTTTAGCAACTACTATTGGGAAAAAGAGTCCATACCAGCTTTGTCTCCAGATGAAATCTACTTGTCTCATATTACTATTATGAAGTTTTAATTGGCTGTTCTGTTAGATAATAAACTCTGTGAAGGCGGAGACCTACCTTGTTCAGCATTAGTGGTAAAACCATTTAGATCTTGGGTATAGCCACATGATAAGCACACAGTTGATACTCACTAAATATTAGTTGAATGAACAAATAAAATTTACAATGTGCCCTTAAAGAACCGTGCTTTTCACATATGTGAAAACTGAATTTAAAACATTTTCCCATGACTCATAGCATAGACAAAGGGCTAATCTGCCTAATAAGTAACGAGGCTCTGTGGGCCACAGGAGGACGCCTTGGTGGGTCTCATGCATGTGAGCAGGTGCACAGCCTCCCTCACCGTGATGATGACACAAGGCAAAGTAACAGTTCAGTGAGGAATCATTTTGCCAAAAACTCCAAGTGTTTATTATTTTGTTTTGGGTTTTGTGTGTTAGATTGTTCATCGGTGAGGTTATAATGAAGCTGATACTTTCATGTGTTGCTGATGGGAGCGTAAATATCCCCTCTGGAGGGCAATTCAATAATATCTGTCAAAATTAACTACATGTACTCTTTGACCCAGCAGTTCTCATTCTGGGAATTTACTGTATACAGGTATACAGTTACTGGTTGAAGCATTAATTTTAATTGCAAAAGACTGGAAACTGTCTTGTCCATTACAAGGAAATTTACTAAATTATGATAAATCCAAAATACGAATTGCTGTGTAACTATGGGAGAAAAGGGGAAGTGCTGTCTTAATGAATATGGGAGAACTCCAGGATCCATTGCTAAATGGAAAAGACTGTGTTTAGTGTACGTTCATTTTTGTAAAAAACAAAAACATGTAAAGAACATTTGGGAAGGGAGAATGAATACATATTTATATTTGCTTGCACACATAAAATACATCTCAGGAAGATCCACAAGAAGCTATTCACAGGAGTTCTGTGGCTGTGCTAGGGACTAGACAGATGGGGCTAGAGGTGGACTTTGCACACTGTACCTTTTAAGTGCTGTTTTCTAGCCATGTAATACCTCGTCAGAAAATTATTAAACATTTTCAAATAAATAAAATTTACCCCATCCTCCCAGGAATTACAGTAACAACAAAACCTCTCACCCAGGGGTCTTCTGAAAGGAAGCTAGTTGGCCAGGAGTTATTGACAGTCCTCGTCGGAGGCCGACCTGTCTTCGGGGTTGCTGGGTGGGAGCTGGAGCCAGCGGAGAGCAGTGCCCACCTGCCCGGCCAGGGGACAGCAGTGGTGATATGCCGCGCCCCTGGGGGCGGGGGCAGGGACATGGCCCTAGGTAAGGCAAGAGGGAGGAGAGCCTGGGAATGGCGAGTGGGCCACAAATTTCCACATTTGTTTTTATTCCCACAAACTTATTCTTCCCATAAGAAGTCTAAGTCCTTATTTCTCAGTTACTGCAATAGCTGCCTTAAATGATGAGTAGCTGAAGAGCTTTCAATGTTTCTATTTCTTCTTACATTTCTGTATTATAAAAGGAGTTGTTCATGATGTGATTGTATTGGAATACATTCCTTTATGACCTCTGGACGGCCCACTGAATTTCCACCACCTGGGGTGCACAGTGGCATTTCTAGCAGACTAGTATTAGCCTTGGATTTCATTATTGGCTGCAGAGCAGGCCTGGCTTTGGCTTCCTTTGCTGTTTGAAGGCATGACTTTTTCAAGAGACATGGAATTCTGAGGACAAAGTTGAAAAGCCAAAGTATCCTCCTTTCTGAAGCAGAAGGAGCTCTCCCTTCTGAGACAGGACGGAGCAAAGCAGGGGCCGCTGCACTGCAGGTGCCTCCTGGTGCTCCGTGAGGGAGAACCTGCTGTCATGGCAGGGAGCCCCACAGGCTCTCCACACACGCGTGGGCTGCGTAAGTGTATGTTTTTATGTGGACAGTGCAGCAGTATGTTTAAATAGATGATTGTTCTTGATTCAAAAGTGTATTCTTAGTATTTTATTCTTTCCCTCCTCAGCATGGAGATACAAAACTCCCCACAGGGTGGCATTTGTTGAAAAATTGACCAAGCTTGTCATAAGTCAGCTGCCTAACTTCTGGAAACTCTGGATTTCATATGTTAATGGAAGCCTTTTCAGTGAGGTATGTATACAAATTTGACTATAGGTGGAGCTAAGACCTTGTGAATTTCTAGTCTTAAAAGTGTTAGATTTTGAAGTGATATTTTCAAACCCTAAAGGCCCAGCTTCTATAACCATAGTCACATATTAAGATTAGTTACAAGCATTATAAAATCCTAATACTTAGCAGCCATGTGACCTTGAATAAGTTACTTGATTGTTCTGGGACTCAGTTTTCTCATCTGTGGAAAGAAAATAGTAAGGGTACCTATTTCAATAGGTGGTTGTAAGGATTAAATGAGATAGTCAATTAAAGAATAAAGAAAACTTGAAATATATTCAAGAATTCAGAGTTGAGTATAATGGCAGTCAGGCCAAATTAGGGATGAAATTATGTTCAGTTAGACTATGAACAAATGATAAAATAAGGATAAAATGTTTGCCTCTTATACACAGGTCCAAAATAATCCATATGCTTATGAAATTTCCTAGTTGGGAAGAATTTAAAGATCATATAATCTAGCCCTGTTATTATCAGCCTACAGAAGTTTTTATAAGCCTTTGCATTTTCATGAGTTGCACATTTATTTAATGTGTTAATATATAATTGGTCACATAGAAAGTATAACTCTGACTTCTGTGTATAGCACATGGATATCAGACTCATCACTGCATAATCTTTATTCAAGTGCTCCATAACAGCCTCCCGTTCCTGGAATATGGATTCTAATGCCCTCTGCCCTGAGTTTCTACCTGTAAGGCTTATACAGCTCTGTCTCCCGTGTCTGTGGGAGAGCTCTGTACAGCCCTGGGAGCTGGGACAGGTAGAGATCTTCCTAAGGGTAAAGCTATTTCCTGCTTGTCTTGGACTTGGCAATATAGAAAGTAGACACAGACAAAAGCTAAGACCATTTTTGTTTTTTGGCGAAGAGGTACAGCCTTTGTGGTTTAAGACAGCCCTCTGCTCCTCAGTGGAAAGTGATTAGTGTCTGGGTGCTCCGGGGTCCACTGAGTTTGGTTTGACAATGGACATAAATTCACACTTGTATCAAAGAAATAGGCTCGTACTCTCGAAGGGTTTTCCCCCCTGTGTATATTTAAATTCTGTGTGCCCACTATCTCTTTTATTTTAAGCCTGCTAGATCCCTCGGTCCTTGTTTATGTAAATGGTTGGTTATCTAACTCATTAAATTTATTTTTTGCATGAAAACAAAGTCCTCAGGGCAGAAAACCAGTCTCGTAAGCATGACTTATCAGTGCATTTTTTCCATTTAATTTCATCAATGTATTATCGAACTTTATAAGCAAACATTCAAATATTAAAGCAAAAAATAATTTTATTTTCTTTTTGTATCACTTGGTTGTGCAAAAACTGTTCAATAAAAGTTAACTATACAGAGGAAGTCCTTCTTCCATAAAACAGATGTCCGGTTTGGCTGGTCTTTGCAAATGCAGAGTTGCTTATTGCTGACTCAGGAAAAGAATGCTTTAATTTCAGTTTTGTAGGTGCCCTGAAAAAATTTTTCCAGTGCCCTATTTGTGTGCTGTCACACGTTAGTTTGTTTCTCTGCGACTCTCCACTGGGTGAGGGCCATGTGGCTCGTTGTGCTGAGGACTGGTTTTGGCACCTGGCCCTCTGCACAGCGGAGGGCAGCGGCACCTGGGCACTGCCACGCCCTCCACGTCTGCTCAGCCTCTGGACCATGTCACCACGTGGACGGAAATTTAGATGATCCTGATGGTGCCTTTGGACAGACTGTGTTCATAGATTTTCTCACAGAGCGCTAGTATCAGAATGGAAACAGCCAGTGTACATCACTTTCCAGCTGTGACCTAAGATGAGTACTTCTTCTCTGTGCCTCTTTGCTTCCACAGGGCTGGTTAAAGAATTCCGTGAGTTAACATAAGTGAAGTGCTTATAACAGTGTCTGGCAGATGAATAAGAGTTCGCTCTTATTATTTGGAATGAATTTATTCCAGTATTTGAAATCGTATTAGCCTGGCACATAATACGTGTTCAGTGGACAAAACTTTGTAACATTTAAAAATACTAGACTGATGAACTACTAAAGTAGAGTTGAAAGATGTCAAGATGTATTAAATCATATAAAGAATTAGTCCCTTAGGAGATGGATTTTAAGCCACACTATGTGTTTGCAGCCAAATGTCTTTCTCATCCTTTGCATTAGTTCCTGCAGGTGGCCCACAACACGGGGACAGTAGTTGCCTTGCTTTAGAGTCCTAAAATTCCTAAGAGTTTTGATCTGGGATATTTTAGTGAAATGGGAATATATTTTACTTTCTTACAGGTTATACCTAGTTATGGTAAATATGTAAATGAAATATTTGGTTGTAGATGAAAAATAAATTCATAAACAAGATTAATGTGTGGAAATGAACAAATGATTTTAATTAGTTGTACTGAGTTAGATATGCCTGTGGTTTTTTCTACCTATTTATGTTCATAAACTTAAAAGCTTATAGTAGTAATTATTAATTACACATAATTTGCTGTACAGGGGATTTAGGCATGTTTTTAAACTATTTCCCCTTTGCTGAGAAGTGAGAAAGACACGCAGGGAGGCGGAAGGGCGTGCAGGCGTGCAGCCAGACCAGAGCTGTCGGGCAGCGCTGGGAATCCCTCTCCGTGTGTTCACCTTTAGTCTCATTCAAGAAAGCTTTATGCTATTTAAACACAAGTTCCTTGAAATTTCTTATTTTTCTTGTTATAGAACTATATTATTTTATTAAGAGCTCATCTGTTACTGATTTAGAAGAAGTTTCCAACAGTTTAAAAAATAGTTACTTCTTCAAGCCAGCGAGGCCAACGTGAAATAACATAAGTGAATCAAAACAGTGAAATCCAGCCGTTGGGCTTACCACAAAGTAGTTTTGGTCTGTGTATGCAGGAAAGAGTTAAGGTTTCTAGTTAACGAAATGATTAATAGTAGGTTAAGATCTCACCTTTAGATATATTTTATGTATAATGTATTTGTGAATGAAAATCTTTAAAGCATTCAAAGAATTGTTAAATATTAGGAATCTGCATTTTTAAAAGTCACATAATTCATAGTGTGTAAATTAAAATGTGCTGTGTGTTCCAGCAGTAGATTTTCTTTTAAAAGTAAGGCAAACCTTACATAATTCATTGTGTTGGAAATGTTCAACTCCTCATCAGATTAAAACAATAAGTAAACCTGTTGTTTCATTAACAATTACAAGGGGCCTGCCTGATACTTGATCCCCCTCTTCCCTTTACTGCTCAAGTATTTAGGAGACAAGTCCTTGAATTTTACAAAAGAATTATCCAGTAGATGTCATCATGTAATCATGAGCACTTTCTTGTTGTGCAAAATTGTTATGGCAAAATTTAGCCTTAATTCTGATATGATGCTTGCTTTTTTTTTTTTGAGACAGAGTCTCACTTTGTTGCCCAGGCTAGAGTGAGTGCCGTGGCGTCAGCCTAGCTCACAGCAACCTCAAACTCCTGGGCTCAAGCGATCCTGCTGCCTCAGCCTCCCGAGTAGCTGGGACTACAGGCATGCGCCACCCTGCCCGGCTAATTTTTTTGTATATATATTAGTTGGCCAATTAATTTCTTTCTATTTATAGTAGAGACAGGGTCTCACTCTTGCTCAGGTTGGTTTCGAACTCCTGAACTCAAAGGATCCGCCCGCCTCGGCCTCCCAGAGAGCTAGGATTACAGGCGTGAGCCACCGCGCCCGGCCTGATGCTTGCTTTTTAACAACAGATTTCCACTCTTTTCTTTTATTTAAAAATATTTAACAGAACAAATGAGTAAAAGTAAAGTAAAGTAAAAGTAAGTTTATGATGGAACAATCTCAATATGTACAAAGTTCAGTATTGAGTGTGTTATGGAGAAAGCAATTAAAGAAGACACCCTCTGACAATCAGCATACTTACCAATTTTATACTGGCATGTCCTTTCCTCTGCAGCACTAGACCAGGTCTGTATCAGTTGGGGTTCTCCAGAGAAACAGAATCAGTGGGATATGTGAACAGACACCACACACACACACACACACACACACAGAGATTTATTATAAGGAATTGGCTCATGTCATGATGGGGACTGACAAGTCCCAAAGTCTGTAGGGTAACTTGGCAAGCTGGAGACCAGGATAGTCAATGTGTCAGTTCCAGTTCAAATGCCAGCAAAATTGAGACCTTAGGAGAGCAGATGTTTGAGTTCAAGTAAGAAGGCAGAAGAAACCTCCACAACATCCCAGCCTAGAGGCAATTAGACAGGAGGAGTTCCCTCTTACTCATAGGAGGATCAGCCTTTTTGTTCTAGTCAGGCCCTCAACTAATTGGGTGAGGCCCACCCACAGCAGGGAGGGCTGTCTGGTTCACTCCGGGTACTGATTTAGATGTTAATCTCATCCAGAAACACCCTCACAGACGTAGTGACTAAATACTTGACTAAATGTCTGGGCATCCTGTGGCCCAGTCAGATTGGAGCACAAATTAACCATCACAAAGCCCTTAACAAAGATTTGGCAGTGTGGGACCCAGTGGTGTGTGTGCCTCCTGGTGCTCTAGCAGGCGCCAGTCTCCTCAGCAGCATCCGAGCGAGACACCTGCAGTCTCCTCCCAGGCCCCAGCCTGCACCCAGGACTCTCAGACCTCTGCTCATCCTTTTGTTGACACCTTAAATCTCTAGGATAACCGAGTCTTTTGGGCTTTTCAGAAGCATATCATAGGGTTATGCCTGGCAGACCTACCTCCAAGGGTCAATCTGTCACATTGAGACCCAGGACTTGAGGCTTTTAAAAAAAGGTCTTCAGATTAGCCCAGTAGTGTTCAGGGCTGTCATGCGTTCTTAAATGTATTCAAGGAGGTTCTAAAGAGCATTAGCTTTAGGTGCTCATTTATTTACCAAGTGCCAGATACTGATAAACACATATACATAAGCATAAATACACACATGCATACACATAATACGCATGTATACATTCGTGCATATGCATACGTTTGTGTGCATACCATAGATGGATGTACATACGTACATGTACACATGTAAACTTATATATGTAAACTTGTAGCGTGTGCACACATGCATATACATATGTGCATTCAAAATATATACACATACACACATACATCTTAAAATACATATGTACAATATAAATAAAATAGTGACCAGGATAAACATGACCTCTCCCTTCCTAGAAAAGCTGAACCAAAATATTGTTTTAAAAAATATCCTAAGGCCGGGCGCGGTGGCTCACGCCTGTAATCCTAGCTCTCTGGGAGGCCGAGGTGGGCGGATTGCTCAAGGTCAGGAGTTCGAAATCACCCTCAGCAAGAGTGAGACCCCGTCTCTACTATAAATAGAAACAAATTAATTGGCCAACTAATATATATAGAAAAAATTAGCCGGGCATGGTGGCGCATGCCTGTAGTCCCAGCTACTCGGGAGGCTGAGGCAGGAGGATTGCTTGAGCCCAGGAGTTTGAGGTTGCTGTGAGCTAGGCTGATGCCATGGCACTCACTCTAGCCTGGGTAACAAAGCGAGACTCTGTCTCAAAAAAAAAAAAAAAAATATCCTAAATTCTGGTAACAACTATAAAAGAAACAAATATGGTCCTATGATAAAGAATGTCAGTTGGATGGAGGTTCGGGAACGTCTCTCTGTGGAGAAGACATTTAAGCTGACACTCAGCACATGGGAAGGAAACAGCCACGCAAAGGATCAGGGAAGCAGGTTCCAGGCAGTGAGAATGACACACACAGTGCCAGCATAGGAGCCTGGCGTACCTGAGGAAGGGGAAGAATGGCACAGTGTGTGCAGACTTCCTAAGCAGTGGAAGCTGGTGTTCTGGATGAAGACTTTGTCCGTGGAGTTGGAGAGAAATTGCTAGGCTTGATGTGCACTTTGGAGGTCGTGTCGATCAGTCATGCTGATGCATCAGACAAGGACAAGGAGGGCAGGGGTAAGCTCCCAGATGGGCTGCTGAGTGAGTAGATATGCCATTCACAAATTTGGAGCACTTGAGGAGGAGCATTCTGGGAGGAAACATGTCAGACCTTCATTCCAATATGTTAAATTGAGTTCTCCAAGAAGAGACATCAAGCAGGCAATTTGAGATTCAAATCTGGGTTTCAGGAAATATTTAGGCTGGAGATACACATTTGAAAGGCATTAGATAGAAATGACATTTGAAGTCGTGGGAATCAATTAATGAGAAGTACAGAGAAAAAAGGGGAAAAGGTGCCCAAGACTAAGACCTATCAGACCACACCATTTAGAGAATAGCTACTTACCACCTCTGAGCAGGGCATTCATTCTTCTGTACATGGCACTGTATCGCCAACAGTGTTCTTTTGATTCCTAACATCACACTGGACAAAAACAGAAAGCAGGTGAGCAGACATTCACAGCCACTGGACTTGCTTGAGTGGGCGTGACTTTTAATCGATGTAGAATAATCTTTCACACGTTACTGTAGGGGACTGGGAGTCCTCTGGGCCTTCGCCTTCCGCAGCCTAAGCCAACCACCCGGGCTCACCTGCCACCTGCTGCTGAGCTGTGGCCACGCTCACCTGGACAACTGCAGCATCCTGCTGGCTGGTCAGGCTCCTACACTGGACCCTGTCATCCTTTCTTCTCACTCTAGACCTAATCACATCACTCCCCTGCCTAAAACACTTCAATTCCTTCTCATTTGTCTTAAAAGAAAAAAACCCAACAATCCTAATCTTCTTTTACTTATCCATGCCAATGTGTTCATTATGTAGACCGACTCTATAAGCAGTTTCTCTAGCTTATATATAAATATACACACACATACACACACACACACACAGGTATATCACATTACTTATATTTAAAAATTGAAGTCAATACCGTAATCATTTATAATGCAACTATTCTTACCTTGAACGGTCTCTTGACATGTTCCTAACCAATAATACATGAGATGAGGGTTTTAACTTTAAAGGATAAATTTTGTACTGTGAGGAAAGTGTCAGACCTTTCTTTTACATTGTATAATTTTGCTATTGCATCTTTATTTGGAAAGTTGCCTAAGCTTACTCTTCTAGGACAGTGTATATAATAATATTTGGTTGTTAGAAAATTTGTTAATAAAAAGTTAACTGAAATCCAATTGAACAGATTTCTCTTTTAATCAGTATAAAGTTGTCTTCCACATGTTACTTTAAGGAAAAAGAGAAATAATCATAGGAAAAGAGTTATATCAGGAAATAGATAAAAAATTAATTCTAGAATGGTACAGTGTATTCTCTCCTAAATTATACTATAAAATCCCTGAAGGAAGAGTAATGATTTTTAATGCTTTAAAAATAAAATGATAGATATAGTGCTTGAATTCATGCATATTGACCAAGCGAATGGAAGCCCTGTGATTACTATACATTAATTCAGAAATTAGTTTTCTTTTTATTTCTGTACTAGTGGATGAGAAATGATGTTGAGAATGTTATAATGGGTATGATACTTTATGGTTTAACCATATGAAATTGTTGATGCAATTCACCTATAAAATCAGTCATTTCAACTTAATTCTTAGGTTTATTTATGGAAATTATACCTAAAGGTTTTAGAAAGATAAATAACTTCTTACTGGAATAAGAAAGGTTTTATAGTTAATCATCTTTTAATCAGAAACTTGGATTATGTCTTAAGCATTCCTTTTAATCAAGTTACAATCATATTTCTTGTTCTCTTCATATAGAAATGTTAAAGCACTTATTTTTATACATTACTTCTAATATGTTGTATTTTGGTTTTTAATTTTTAAGACTGCTGAGAAGTCAGGCCAGATTGAAAGATCAAAGAACGTAAGGCAAAGACAAAATGATTTTAAGGTAAGTTAAGGAAAAGTTATGTAGACTTTTTCACAGGGTAGGGTTTTCTCATCCAAAGTTACTAGGAGACTTTATGTTCAAGACACTCATTATTGCTTAGTTAATTTAATCAGATTAATGCCATTTCAATGCAGTTTTGCTTGTCCATTGTTCTCTAGAAAATGATTCAGGAAGTGACGCACTCACTTGTGAAGCTGATCCGCGGGGCCTTGCTCCCACTCAGCATCTGGGACAGCAGCGAGATGCTGCAGTACGGGGGCTGGGAGGTGAAGTCTGAGCTCTCTGGACAGTGGTTCACGCACACCATCCAGACCATCAGGTGAATATAGACACATTCTCATGAAAAGGAGTACTTTTTTTTCTTGCTTTTTGAAAAAAAATCCTTTGTATGGGATATGACTTTTGATACATTTAACAAAAAAGGAATTTTACTGTTCCTTCTCTCTGTTTTTTTGCCTCCATGGTTTTCCGTTTATCGTCTAACAAGGAGGCCCTTAAATATTCCTGGAGTGTATGTTGGACAAGAGTGTCATACCGTTTGTGCATCTTTTTGATTGCTTATCCTGGTATTACTGACACAGTGCAATCCCTGTCATGTTCTTGCTTTCTCTGTTTTCAACCTAATGCTGTAGTTTATAAGCTGCATGAGGAATGATTGTAGGACTACAAAAGCCATGGAACAAATTGCTGTGGGATCCCACTTTGCTCACTTCTGTTGTGTTTGTTTTGCAGGCTTACTTATGAATCGTTGACTGCCCTTGAAATTCCCAACGACATGTTACAGACGATCCAGGATCTCATTTTGGATCTTCGAGTACGTTGTGTAATGGTCACATTGCAACACACAGCAGAAGGTGTGTTTAGAAAAGCTCATTACATTTACTGAACAACAGTTATCTGAATATGCCACCTCCTTTCAGCTTACAAATCTTTGAAAATAGGAAAAAATTAGTCTTATGGAAATTTTAATTATTAGTTGATCTTATATCTAGCTGCTCAATAGAATTTTTTTCTTTTTTTGATGTCTTTTCAAATCAGTCTTATTGAGAAGCAAGACCATTGCAGAAATTAGAATGGATATACTTGAAAATGTTTAAGGATATAAGAACATACTTATGGCTAACTAGAAAACATAGGATATAAAACTTGTATAAAGTAAGATCCCAGATTTGTAAATATATATTTAAGATTTATATATATTTGTATATATTTAAGATTCAATTTAAAAAAATCAATGTATTATCAGCAGAAAGACTGTTAGCAATGGTCCTTTGAATTCTAAAAATGACATGTGATTCTTATTTTCCTTATACTTTTAAAATTTTTCAGGATTTGTACATAAAATCATAAAAAGCAATGAAGGAGTATTAAATATTTTCCAAACAACCAAAAACATTGTCATAAATGGTGCAAGCCATTACTATCTGCATCAGGCTTTTTAGGTAGGAAGGTTACGGAATTGGTGGCAAATACACTGTGTAAATGGAAAGGGAGTAGAATCTAGGTGAGAAACTGAACATTTCTCCCTTAATTCATCACCTCCTTCACTCTGGGAACCTGAGTCCCCAATGCTAAAAGTTTGGGCAGGGGGCATTCCTTTAGACAGGTGAGAATCATACCTCCATTGTCAAGAATATATAGGATTCAGAAAGAATCCAAATTCATTCATCAGAAATTTAGGGAAAAAAATAGTATATGGCTTATTTTGTACATGTCTGGTATTATCAAGAATACTGAATATATAATAAATCATTGCCTCAAGTCGTCTTTAAACCTTGCCTAGAATTCTCCAAATTAGGCTACACAGTGGAAAATTTTATTTACATTAATATTTTATTGGAAAAATCCAGTGAACGATACATATTTAAAATCTCGATACAAATTTAAAATCTATCATAATTATATTCTTTTCCCTGCTTTCAGCAAGTTTTTTCAAGCCTATGTAAAACAATGAAAAACCATAACGTGTAGATTTTTATCGCTATTAAAGATTGGTGAGATAATTATAATGAATAGTACTTGCGTACTTGTTTTCCATATAGAGATAAAGAGATTAGCTGAAAAGGAAGACTGGATTGTTGATAATGAAGGACTGACTTCTCTGGTGAGTATACATTCTTTTTAATTATTAGTCATGAATGTATACTCAAAATAAATGGCTTATTATATTTATAAGGAGCATTAGCTCTTTACATTGCCACTCTGAATAGTTTCTGTAAATAGAAATAATAAGCTTCTTAAAACTTTCCTTGTCAGAGTCATTTTTCCTTAACACTAAACTACAGATATTAAGAGATTAATGAAAAGAGTGGGCTTTTGGAGTGACCTTTCTTCATCTTGTATAACTTACTACTTTTGTTTCTGTTACTTTTTAAAAAAAAGTAGAGTTTGCTTAATTCCAAGTTATTCAGCAACTTGAATTTTTTGGAAAAGCAGGACAGAAAAAACGCTATTGCTGACTCCTAAACCAAAACCAACCAACCAAACAAATGAAAACAACAACCACAGACCTCTCCAGATACATTCACAGGTTGGGCAGGCAACTATAACCTGTTCATTCTAGAATAATCATCTTTTCAGATGGGACTTTTAGTTTCAGATACCGTTGGAAATAGTTTTCCTGATTTATCGTGTTTTTACACTTGTCTCATGGATCCTGTGTTGCCAGTAAGCTACTGGAACATCCCAGTGGCTTAAACAAGACGGGGACTTGCTGTTTCTTCTATATTAACCTGGCAGCTCAATCATGTGGTCAGTGCCCAGGGCTCCTTCCCTGTGACCCTTCACGGTGGCTTCTACTCGGGAGGACCTTGTGGTCACTCATGATCTCACTGCTGTCTGAAGAAAGCCCAGCCTTCCCCCAGGAGCCATAGCCAATACCTGTCTCACACCTGCTTGGCTAGAATTCACTCACATGCCCATCCCTGTCAGCAACGAAGGCCGGGAATATGGAGTTTTTTAGCAGAGTACCTGGCTATTCCCAACAATTTCTGTCTGTCTTTAGTAAGAAATAAGGAGAAAATAAATCCTGGAGAGGTAACCAGCAGTTTCTGCCTTAGATAAGGAAAGTAGAATAAAATGGTCTTGACTTGCCCAAATTTACAAACCAGTGATGAGTCAGCCTGTTGAGAAGCAGTGATACTGAGTTGAATTTCTGTGCAGTTGTCTCCCAGTATCCATGGTGGGGGAGGAGGGGGTTGGTTCCAGGACCCCGTCACAGTACCAGAATCTGAAGATGTTCAAGGCCCTTAAAGTTGGCGCTCTGCATCTACAGGTTCCATATCCAGCTGGTCCCACAGCTGGTTGAATCCATGGGCATGGGACCTGTGGGTATGGAGGGCTGACTGTACTTCTTATCAATGGTCTTCCCTTGAGGGTTGGGGAATTTATGGACTCATTTTCATTCCTCCAAATTTCTAGATCCTATCTTAAGTTATTATAAATATATACAGTTGTAGCATACTTTATGTAGCAATGTGGTTTAGAAAAGCAATGTTTACTGACAATGTTTTTCAAGTTAAATCATGCTTGAAATGAATTAGGGACATTTATCATTTTAATAAGTGAATATAATTCCATTTTAAAGGATTTGTTTTTTGTAAGAATATTTTAATTGACTGAGTTTGTTCTGTCACAATCACCATATGTAAGTACAAACTAGTCTATAGCTAACTCTCCCTCACACTCAGTTTTTAGAGCAAGATGTGGGCAGACCTACACCACCCAGCACAAAGCCACGCAAGACTCACAGACCTCAATGTCTCAACTTTGTATATTGTTTACATGTTGAAATAATAATATTTGGATATGCTACGTTAAGTAAACAATATTAGAATTAGCTTTATTTCTTTTTAGTTTTTTTAATGTGATTACTAGAAAATCTGAAATGTGGTTTGTGTTTGTGGCTCACATTATATTTCTGTTGAATATCACTGGTACAGTGCATTGCACTCAATTTAGAATCAAAACCTAGTTTAGTCCTCCATGCAATCCTAAAGAAGTCACGTAACTTGTGTGACCCTGGTGTCTTCATTTGTATAGAAGGAGCAGGAGAATGCTTCACAGTGTTGTGATTTAGGATTAAATGAGATACTGTGGATTAGAGCACTTTGTAAACCGCAAAGCTTTAGCCAAACATAAAGGATTTTTTTATACTTTATTTTATTTTTTTATTTGAGTATATTATGGGGGTACAAATGTTAAGTATATTCCCCATGCCCCCACTTCCCCCTCGAGTCAGAGCTTCAAGCGTGTCCATCCCCCAGACAGTGCACATCTCACCCATTATGTATGTATATACCCATCCCCTCCTCCCCCCTCCCACCTGCCCAACACCCGATAGATGTTATTCCTATATGTCCACTGAGGTGTTGATCCGTTAATACCAATTTGCTGGTGAGTACATGTGGTGCTTGTTTTTCCATTCTTGGGATACTTGACTTAGTAGAATGGGTTCTAGCTCTATTCATGAAAATACAAAAGGTGCTATATCACCATTGTTTCTTAAAGCTGAATAGTACTCCATGGTATACATATACCACATTTTATTAATCCACTCATGTATTCATGGGCACTTGGGGTTGTTTCCACAACTTTGCAATTGTGAATTGTGCTGCTATAAACATTTGAGTGCAGGTGTCTTTTTTGTAGAGTGTCATTGGATCTTTTGGGTAGATGCCCAATAGTGGGATTGCTGGATCAAATGGTAGATCTACTTGTATCTCTTTAAGGTATCTCCATATTGCTTTCCACAGAGGCTGAACTAGTTTGCAGTCCCACCAGCAGTGTAGGAGTGTTCCTCTCTCTCCGCATCCACGCCAACATTTATTGTTTGGGGACTTTTTGATAAAGGCCATTTTTACTGGAGATAAATGATATCTCATTGCAGTTTTGATTTGCATTTCCCTGATGATTAGAGATGTTGAGCATTTTTTCTTATGTTTGTTGGTCATTATTCTCTCTTTTGAAAAATTTCTGTTCATATCCTTTGCCCATTTTTTGATAGGGTTGTTTGATTTTTCCTTGCTAATTTTCCTGAGTTCTGAATAGATTCTAGTTATCAGCCCTTTATTGGATGTGTAGCTTGCAGACATTTTCTCCCATTCTGTGGGTTGTCTGTTTGCTCTCTTGACAGTTTCTTTGGCTATGCAGAAGCTTTTTTAATTTGATCAGGTCCCATTTATTTATTTTTGTTGCTGCTGTGATTGCCTTTGGGGTCTTCTTCATAAATTCTTTGCCTAGTCCAGTGTCTAGAAGAGTATTTCCAACATTTTCCTCCAGAATTCTAATAGTTTCACACCTAACTATAGAGGCTTTTTTACGAGCCGTAAGGGGAAAGAAGCAAGTAACACACAAAGAAAAGCCAATCCAAATAACACCAGACTTCTCTACTGAAGCCTTACAAGCAAGAAGAGACTGAGTTACTATTCTCATTCTTCTGAAACAGAATAATGCCCAGCCTAGAATCTTGGACCCTGCAAAACTAAGTTTTGTATAGGAAGGAGAAATAATGACGTTCTCAGATAAGCAAAGACTGAGGCAATTCACCACCAAGACAAGACCAACCCTCCAGTAAGTACTCAAAACAGTGTTACCCACAGATCAGCATAATAAACACGAATGTAAATCCACTCAAAAGCTAAGATCAAAGGCCAGATACCACAATGGCTCTAGAGAGAAAACAAAGCAACGAAGGTCAACCCATCAGAATGAACAGAAATCTGCCCCACCTATCATTTCTCTCAATAAATGTGAATGGCTTAAACTCCTCACTCAAGAGACATAGGCTGGCCGAATGAATAAAAAAAAATACAAGCCAAGTATCTGCTGCCTTCAGGAAACACATCTAACCTGCAAAGATGCAGTTAGACTAAAGGTAAAGGGGTGGAGAACAATATTTCAAGCAAATGGAAGCCTAAAGAAGGCTGGCATGGCAGTTTTGATTTCAGATAACTTAGTTTTTAAATCAACAAAAGGATTTTTATTTGATTAATAATGTATAGAACTGGCACCACTATCATAATAATACCACAAGCTTATATTACCCCTCACTGTTTTCAAAGCACTGTCATATAACCCTGTGCTGATCATTACAGCAAGCCTCAAGGACAGGCCAGAAGGGACCATTGGATGATCGACTGCTGAGTAACTTGCGCAGGTACATATGTGTAGGTGGATTAACCATTGAGTCACCTTGATGCCTGGTTCAGGACACCTGCTCAGATTAGTCTTGTGCAAAGGAAAAAACATTGTATGCTCAATTTGAGATAATTTTTAAGGTTCTATGTTTCATTTTGCAAAACTGTCATACGTTTAGTAACTCAGCTCTGAGTCATAAAATAGGTGTAGGTCCTTCTCCAGGCTGGTGCTTCTGCATTTGTGGCCAGCCCACGTGTGCCTCCATGGGGTGGCCCTACCTCGGGCTGGTGGTGTGGTCATTGTAGATCAGCCCCTGTGAAGATACTCTGAAGTGGCTACTTGTTTGTAGTTTATTTTTAGAAACTACAAGGTTTTAGAAACTTATTTGTAGTTTATTTTTAAAGTTCAATTATACTAGTGCAATTGTAACCAAAAATTAACTCATTTCATGTTTGATCTCACACATGACAAGCCACATAACTATGCACAGAGATGAAAGCGCTAACCCTCAGTGCACCTTGTGAATGAATGACCTGCAGGAAGTAGCTCATCTAGACGGTTTCTAGTCAAATATCAGTGAAGAAATATGCTAACATGATAGATTTGATAACGCTGAGTAAAGTTTTTAGTTATTCAGCGCGGATCTCTCTTAAGAGAAAAGGTGAATCAACACTTAGAGCACAAATCTAGAGTCCAGCTTTGAATATTAGTGTTTTGATCTAACATGTGTGTAAAATTCTTAGACTTTGAAGAATGACAGGTTTTATCAAAGCTTATCACATATTTCTAATTTATATTTTCATGATGTTTCCACAGTACCAATCCCATTTGTTTGAGATGAGAGTACTTTTTCTTTCCCTATAGCTGGGAGAGGAAAATGTTACTTATCACATTAAAGAAATGAATGTAAGCTTTGCCTCATTATGACTGTTTTCTTCAGCTGAAGTATTATCTATAATTAGAACTTCACTTCAGTGCCCTGGAACAGCTCATTGAAAGCATCCTGTTTTCTTCTCATGTTGAAAATACTTTCTGCCTTTTTTCAATTTGGATAATTCTGAGAATTTTCTTCTTTCAGAAGAATTGCAATGATGTGTGATTACTTCTTACAGTTAGCTAAATTGGATGATTTACTGATGATACACAGAGATAGTACTATTTCTTTTTTCTAAAAATGTTTAGACTATAACTTACTCCCAGTATAACTGAGACACATTGAGCCTTTTAGTAGTCTCTATCCACTTATATTAATATATATAAAATAAAATTAATAAGAAAGTCTAGTTCATATTTTAATATAAGAAATATAAATAACCACACATGAACATTGATATTTAACTGCTCACAGAAGAATGTTGCATTTAATTCTCAATATCATAATTATTATTTAACATATTAAATTTTCTTTCCAAGGCAGATAAGTCAGATGAATAAAGTTGGTCATCAAACATATGTTTTGACAAATGTTTTCTGTGCCATTGGTATTTCATCCTACATTCCTTACTTTTTATTATTTTTTCTGTACTTCCACTTTTAAGTATTCTTTGTGGTGCCCCCTGGTGGTTTCAAAGTGCAGTAATAAAATTACACTAAAGCTGAGTAATTTTATTGTCACTTTATCAATTGTATTTTAACTTTCATTAAGTCGGGCTTCCTTTAGGTAAAAGAATACCCATCTTTTTAAAAATATTTATGTAAGTGTCCCTTTCTTTCTTCTGTTCACTGTTTTTCCTAAACCTCTTAAAAATTGATGTGTGTATTAAGGAGAGGTTCTCCAGATTTTTGCATAGATCTAGTGGGTTGAGCAGTGAGCCTTCCACAGCTCACTGCCTGTTGAATGAAATCCAAACTCCTTGTCCCATTTCTTGAGACCGTGTTTACGCTCAGTGGTTTCACATGCTGCTCATCCCATGCCCCTCAACCCCAGCCGTTTCTTGCCCACCCTGGGCCATGTATGCTGTCCTTCCATGAGGACTTGCTTCTCCTCCACTGTCCTCTCCAGGGGCCCATCCCTCTGGTGCTTTGGCCCTCAGCTTCAGTGTCCTCACTGGCTCAGGGGAGGGGTGGGGGCTTCTTTGAGCATCCTATTCAGAGAAGATCCTCCTCCATCACAGTTGTTCTCTGAGTTTTACATGTGTTGTTCATAGTGCTTAATATAGCTTATGAATGCAGTTATTTTATTTCTATACCTTTTTTTTAACCATTTTGTTGACAGTGACTTTAACGGTAGTGTCTCCTGGCTGGAATATACTATAATGAGAACTCTGTCTTACTCACTCCTGTGTCTCTGTCACCCAGTAGTTCCCGGCACAAAGTAAAATCTTAAACACTCTTAGGAGCTAAGATGTTCGGATCCATTCACACTTATCTTGAAATGCCACTGGTTGGACTTATTTCCAAGTTTCATTTTCTGACTTAATGTATATAGAAATGACTGTAATGACTTATCTGATTTAAAGATCTTGTACCTCCTCCAATTGTTAGTATTAACATTAAATTTTGTTGAACAGTACCAGAGATGTGGAAGATCTAAGAACTTGAGCTCATCCCTGAATATACCTGGGAAATAGCATTTAAAAAATATACTCATTATATCTGCTACTTATTATGTCATTTGCCTCTCACAAGAATAGAGTCTTGAAGAAAGTTTTAGTTACACCTGACTGTTCTGGTTGCATTAGATGTACTTTAGAATCTCAAGAGTTACCCATTTTTAAATATTAAAGTGCAAAACATGCCAAACCTGAAAACTCAATGACTGGGAGATTACTTTTCAGATATTTATGTCTCTGTTCCTTTCCACAAATCTGGAAAATTCAGAGCTTTTGGCTGTATACATTTCTGTTAAATATATCTTAATAATATAACCAGTGCATGTTTTTTAATTTTAAGATACACATTTTTTTCCTTCAGCCATGTCAATTTGAACAGTGCATCGTGCATTCCCTGCAGTCCCTGAGGGGTGTTCTCGAGTGCAAGCCTGGAGAGGCCAGTGTAAGTTCTCCGCTCAGTTCCACGTTTACTTCAGAACTTCCCAAGGAGCCCTTGGCAATAATAGCTGTATGTTTTTGAGTCCTTGCAGCACAAGAGCTTTTCTCCCTCATTGCTCGCTTGTTTCATTTAGTTTAACTACATAGGCATGTTGATTCCTGTGCCAATATAGCTAGTGAAAGTTAAAATGTGGTAGAGTGATCACAGTGATAGCACTTTGTGAACAGAATGACCAGTTGACCCTGGTTGTTGTCCCTCAGCCCAGTACTTCATTGTCTTCTCAAGCCAGAGCCACCACAGTTACCAACAGAGTTACCACAGTTACCACCTCTAAGCTAGCTCTTCACTCATGACCCCTTTCAGAGTAGGGAGACCCGTACCTAAAGCAGTTTTCCATATTTTAACTGTTTATATCTAACTTCATAAAAAAATTTTGTTTTTATTAACAAAGTGCAACCTTTTTAATGAAGATTCTTCTGCATAGGTCTTTCAACAACCTAAAACACAGGAGGAGGTTTGCCAACTAAGCATCAATATTATGCAGGTAATAATTGCAAGCAGTGATGCCCAAAGCTAGAAGTAATACTAGCCAGCCCCTTCCTATTTATGATGTGTATATAACATATATCAAATACATATTCTGGTTTCATCTTGTCTGTGTACATAGTAGTTTAGGGTAAATAGGGCATAAATTAAGTTTAATATAGGATTAAGTCCAACTTATTTTAGCAATACCCAAATTTTCATTTATATTACACTGCCCTTTTTTGTGTTCTCTTTATACTTTATTTCTATTAGAGCACAGAGTAAATTAAATGATAATCATTTACATTATATCTAGAGTGTAAAGTTTTTTGAGTGGGACCAGTGCTCTGTAAGCACATAAACAAAATTGGCCATTTGAGTGAGTGGGAAAAGGTCTTTTTCCTAAAATATATTCAGGAACTTAATAATTGATCAAAACATCAGTGCTTTTAATTTTCTATTATTTATATGATATGTATTGATGGGATATATACTTCTATCATTAACAGGATATATATAAAATATATTTCTATATACATACCTCTCCCCCTACCACACTACTTGTGGGATATATACTTCTACTTTAATTTATGTAAAGTTACTTTTGTAACTTATGTCCAGATAGATTAATATCTGAGAGTTCATTCATCTGAGAGTTCTGAAACTTATTATTTTTTACTTAGGTTTTTATATACTGTCTGGAACAATTGAGCACCAAGCCTGATGCAGATACAGATACTGCACAGTAAGTGAAAATGAAATTAATCTTATTAATACATTTAGGAGAATTAAAAATATAGACTCAAGTTTTATATTTAGTCTTATATCCCAAGAATTCCAGTAAGAGAGATAGATTGTTCACATTAAAGTCAGTTTTATATATTTGATCTATATTCTTTCCATAATTTCTTCATAATTTCTTTATCTTCTGAACACAGTCTTATTAAAGACATATTAAGCAACTTAAACACATGATTAGCTTATTGTTGAAAAGAACAGATTTTATAATTAATAAAGTAGAAAATTTAAATATATAACTCCTAATCGATTATTTTTACAATCCTGACGTTAGGGTAGCACACTAGTACTCTTGTTAGAGACTAAGCATGTTGGTAGAAGCAAGTCTGGGTCAGGCTTAGTTATTTGAGCTCTTAGATCTGTGGTCCCCAAGCCCCAGGCCATAGCCCAGTACCCATCAGTGGCCTGTTAGGAACCAGGAAGGCCACACAGCAGGAGGTAAGGCGAAGGGAACTTCCTCTGTGCTTACAGCTGCTCCCCATCACTTACATCACTGCCTGAGCTCCGCCTCCTGTCAGATCAGCGGCCTTAGGTTCTCACAGGAGCTCGAACCCTACTATAAACTGTGCATTGGAGGGATCTAGGTTGTGTTCCTGATGAGCATCTAATGTCTGACAATCCGAGGTGGAGCTGAGGTGGTGATGCTAGTGCTGGGGAGCGGCTGCAAATACAGATTATTACTAGCAGAGAGGTGTGACTGCATGATAAATGTGATGTGCTTGAATCATCCTGAAGCCACACCCCGCCCCTCATCTGTGGAAAATTGTCTTCCATAGAACCAGTCTCTGGTGCCAAAAAGGTTGAGGACCACTGTTCTCAAGGACATATCTTAACTCTTGATGTTTACAAATCCATGTGGACATCCATGTTATATTGGACAGCATTGTAAAATGCTGTGTGTGTGTTTTTTTAAATCTAGTATTTCTGAACCATACTTGGCATTCGTAATCTGTGCGCCTATGATTTATGCTGACACAGGTAATACTGAAATACATGCCTCTTAAATCTTTAATTCACAATATGAGAATTTTTCCCTGTTAGTCTATTTACTGGTATTGGTTTTTGCTTTTCAGTATATGAAACTATTACCTCTCTAGAGACCTACTAAGTTTTTAATTCTTCTAGATTTTTTTTATTTCATATTTTTAGCTCACTATTTCACCAGGAATTTGTATTCTCAGATCCCTGATATTATTAATTATCAATTAATAACTAATTATTAATGTCTTTCCTTATTGTTTTGTTAAAATTTCTGTTGTCATTGAATTCTGTTGTCATTCTGTCATTGAATTCTGATAAATAGTGCAGTGTATTTCTAAACTTTATCTTTTTGTTCAAACACATTTTGTATCAATTGGTGCTGTTTTAATTATCACTAGTTTATGTTTTGTTTTTCAGCTTGGTATTTTTTTTTAACCTCAATTTTGAAATATTATTTTATATTTTCATCATTTTAGTCTTTCATATGAATTCTAAAATCAGGTGGTCAGGCTTAAAGAACATAAGTCCTGCAGAGGTGTTTAATATGTTTCCATTCTATCTATAAATTAGTCTGTAGAGTTACGATCCCCCACATTTCATATTTCTTATCACTTGTGAGTTATCAACTAATTTCCTAACTTACCTCACCTCACCTATAAGGGGTTTACTATCAAAATGAGCTTGAAAAAGCCCCCCAGATATTCTGATGGGCAGAAACATTTTAATTATGTAAGTATATACTTAGGATAATTAGAATAATTTGACATTTTCCCCTTAGTTATTTATTTTTAAGTTTAATTAAATCAAAGCCTTAAGACTTTGGGAAGTCCTGAAAGCAAATATCATATGGCCCATGTTAATATATAGCCCATCATGCCTTCTTTGAGCTGTTAATTGTTAAATATAAAAAAAACTTGTAGAAGGTTATATGATTTTTAACCAAGACATTTAAAATTCAAATTGATATATATTGAATAGTTCATTGCATTTTTAAATTTTAGTGCTTTAATTGTAACTATTTGCTTACTTACTTCTGTATTCAGTCTTTCCATTGACGTGTCTTCTCCTGATTTGTTTGGAAGTATCCATGAAGACTTCAGTTTGACCTCTGTGAGTAAGATTATCAATAGAAAGTAAAACATTTTAAAACTATTTAATGACTATTTCATAATCAGTCTAAATTGCTTTGAATGTTACTGCATCACTGCTGTGGAATGTATTAATAGTATAGAACTGCCGTCCCCATACCCCAGGCCACAGAGGTACCAATGCAAGGTCTGTTAGGAGCCGGCCGCACAGCAGGAGGTGAGTGGTGGGCAAGTGAGTGAAGCTTCATCTGTATTTACAGCCGCTCCCCATGGCTCCTAGGCCCCTCCCCTCAGGCCATGGAAAAATTATCTTCCATGAAACCAGCCCCTGGTGCCAAAAGGGTTGGGAGTCGCTGGTATAGAACATTGCTGTATACTTTGGAGCTATGTCTTAGTATGTGATAATTTTACTAAATATAAATGAATTTCACATAAATATGTATGAATTTCACACTTAAAACTTTTTACTTGGAATTGTAACTTAAATAGTTCCATATACTGCATCTGTGCAGTTCCTGAATGTTAATGGGCACCCCAGTGGTGCCCAGGTGCACGAGAGTTGTTAGAATTGGCTGAGGAGGACAAGGGTGCCCATTTCTTTCACACTTTTGGCCTCTTCAGCCAGACAAGTTCTGCTTTTCTCTGTTTTATTTCCATACGTGCCCTAATAGCATTTTATTTGAACACTGTTTCAAATAAAAATATATATATATATATACAGAAACATATATGCATATGTAAATACACATATACATACCTATACATATTATTTTTAACATATACACATATTTAGGGAGAATTCACATACATGAATTATCACATGTATAAATTCAGCTATCAAAATTCAAACTCCAGCTGTCTTAAAGAAAATAACCCTCTCTGGTTTGTCATGAGCTTGAAGGGTGTGTGTTGTGTGTGCATGTGTGTGAACGCATGCCGAGGGTATCTCAAGAAACAAAAAGACCTGAATTCTACCCTGTGTAATTTCCATAGTTACTATATTTTTAAGCACAAATTCCTAAATGAGGAGTTTGGTATATTAGGAAAAGTATAGTTTCAAAGTAATTAAAAAAATAGTCTAGGTTTACTTACTTGGGTAACTAGGTAGAGAGTGATAGCATCTACTGAGACAAAGAATGCAGGAAGAAAACAGATTCTGAAGAAAGATTAAAAATTCAGTTTGGGACCAGATTTGTTGAATGTATGACATTCAGGTAAAGATTGCTAATGGGTGATTAGATATACTTGTCTGGATCCAAGGAGAGAAATCTAGGTGTAGATTTGTGAATCAGCTGTACATGAACAATATGAGGCCTGGGAGTAGATGAAAATACTAAGGAAAATACTAGTTGTTTCTTCCAGTCAGACTTACAGCTGGAGTCGTACCAAAGCTAGCAGCAGGGCAATCCTGTAGAGCACTGCCCCAGGCTGTCCCTACAGATGGGTCAGGTGGATTCCAAAGAAAGAACCGCTAAATGCCAGGTGGTCAGCCACAGCGTTAGGGGAACTTACATGTGGAGAGGCCGCAGTACGTCCTCTCAAGAGACAGCAAGAAGAGATGTTCTACCTGGGAGTGTCAGCAACAAGGGGATCAGGTTATGGGGTTTATATGAGGATTCAAGGAATTCAGGGCAGGGCTGGTTGGTACCTGTTTAGCATGGTTGCTCTCTCCGTGTTCTCAGGCAACAGCCCAAAGAGCTTTACCAGTGCCTGGAATTGTTCAAGGTCCCTGACAGGGTGCAAGCCTGCCAGGGAAAACAGCGTGCCAGAGCAGAGGGCTCACAGCACTATGCTGCTCAGTTAGGAGATAGAAAGAAAGTGGGGGTCGGGGAGCCCCTGTACTGGTTGGATGAGAGAAGGGCCAAATATATAATACCAAAGTAACATTGGGGTGTCAGTATTTAAGAGGTAGCTAGAAGCAGAGAGCCTTGACGCGTCAGAGTGATGGGAAGAAACCCAGACAGAGTTGCACCTGGACGGATGGGAAGAGCAGTCAGATGGGGTGCTTGCAGTGCGAGGCTGAGGAGACTGGGTGGGGGTGAGCAGCAGGACCCGTGGCTTGGCAGCAGGAGCGAGGCCTCAGCCAGCTTGGGAAAGGAGAGAGAAAGGGGCAGGGGGTGCCAGGGCTCAAGGAGAGCCCCCAGAATGGAGAAAGGCCTGGCAAGCTCTCTGGCCAACCCGCTTTTTTCCTCCGTCTTTCAGAATGGGCCTGATTGCCATGTGAACACCTTTCTGGTGTTTGGGAACCTTGGCTGTGTGCACTGAGTCTTCCCCTCTCCTAGCAGACACCCTAAATCCTTAGGCCTTGCCCTGCAGGGTACCTGTGCCCCCTTGAGTGGCAGAGGCGATGGCCCTGTTGGTGGTGGTGGTCCTTCCAGCCTGCCCCCGCCCTCTGTCGGCCGCGGGAGTCAGCGCCAGGCTCTGCTGCTACACTCAGGTCGCACCGCTGTCGGCTGCCCCAGTGTCATTTGTGACCAAATTCAGTTCCTGCTTTTCCCCACTGGGAGGTATTTGGATAGATTTGGCTCTTCCTCTCAGATTACTGAGCTCTCCTTAGGTCTTCTTCTATTACCCAGAAGGGAGACAGTTTTGGAAAGAAAGATCTAGATTTGGGGCCAGACAGAAAACACTGGCTGGCCTCCTGGGTGCTCCTCACTAACTGCATAAGCTCAGGGCATCCAGGCCGTGTTTTCCAGATAAATTGTGATGGTAATGCCTGCCTCACACAGATGCCCCAGGAATGGCTGGAATGATATCTAAGACTTAGTCCTTCATCCACAGGTGTGACATTTGATAGGTAGTTATTTTCAAATATATATCACCATCTAAGGTGTTATTAAGCTTTTGATTAGTCCTTCAAGTTTAAGAATTTGTGTTATTCAGTTGTTCTTCCCACTCTTATTGTATCTGATCATTTAGATGTGAGAAGCAAATGCACTTACTAAGATTTTACACCACTAAAATAGTTTTTCTATTTTTGAAGAATCATGTATAGCACAATGGGAAAGAATTGAGCAAAGATAGTTAATTCGCAAGGCAGAGAAAATGTGCCAGGGTTAGGTCTGCTGGAGTTTTGATTCTTGTAGGAAAAAGTAATTAAAGATTGATTCTGAAACTGAGAAACCAATTGATATTTTGGAGGAATGCAGCATGTTTGGAGTGGCAGCTGTAGCGTCACGTTTACTTTATTCCATGTCTTTACAATGCGTGTACAGTGGTGGAGCCAGACTTGGCAGGACTGAAACATGGCCTTGCCATGCAAGATTCGGGGCTGTTCACTGCTTTCTTTCTAGTATCTTTATTCACAAATTGTGAAAAATGAGTATTAGACATAATACTGCCCTATTTACCTTGTTTTGTTCTCCATTTCCCATCCATAAATTAATTCAGGGCTATTAACAACCTTTCATTTGTTTGAAGGTCCCTTAATAATTCCTCAGCCTTTTACTTACATTTGTTGATAACCAAAAAAGGCAGTGAATAGGCTATGCTCTGCCAGAAATAAAGATAGGAACATTTTAAATAAAAAAATCTAGAAAGTTTTTAGAAATTTGACTGAGCTAGGTGAAATCAGTGGGAGATATTATATATGACTGGCAATTGATTTCTAAGACTATAGTTGTTCATCTTTGGTGCACATACGTTAAAGAGTAGGAACCTGTTTGTCTCTACAGTTATTATATTAAATTCCTTTATTGTTAAGTTATTCTGACTGTGTACACAAAGAGTAAGCAAAGTCTGGGTGAGGACCTTTCCTGGAGAGTGGTTTTGCCATAGTTTTAGTCAAGGGCCTTAGAGGAGCCACAGTTGCTCCAGAGAATGAGACAACGCCCCACACCTGTGGGAGCACAGGGCGGGGAGCCACAGTGAACCACAACACCGTGGCAAGGGCCATTCCTGGAATTTTATTCACAAAACTAGTTCTGAACTGTAAGAGCACATTGTATTCATCAGCATTTGAGTCTGGTAATTTTTGTAAGAAATTACTTTAAGTGGACAGAGCCCTGGAGAATGCAGAAGTAGGTGGGGTTCTCCCCCTTCTCCTTAACTGACACTGACCATCCCCTAGGGAGGAGTCTCCTGGCCTTGGTGACCCCTCCCATTAGAGGGGGACCATTCTTGGTGTTCTCGTTCATACCTGCACAAAAATTTCTTAAAGCCTAAGTGTTTTGAAGGAGCTTATCATATAGAATGTAGGGTAGTGTAATTCTCTTCCAAGTTATGAAACATTTATAAACTATTTTCTGATAGTTTCTACATTTTTAATATAATTATTTAAAATATCCCTTCCTGTAGCCTTTGGTGTACACAGAGTATTAGTAGAATAAACAATAAAGTAGAACCCCTTTCACAAGAACAGCCAATCCTGGTTAAATGGATTTTATCAATTTATTTTCCCATACAAGGCATTAAATTTCAGAGAAAATGTTATTTGACTTTGAGTATATTATGTAATAATGAGCAAATAGTAGAACTGCAGGATTGTATTATGTTTCTCTTCGTATTATAATATTGGGAAAGAAGCAGCGAAGAGAAGCAAAGCATTGAATATTGATGTTAAAGAATAAGAGATTATAATTAAACTTAAGAAGTGGTCAGTATTATCTGTTACACTCTCAATTTGTTACTATAAATGTAATTTTTTAAAAATTTGTTTTGCTTTTTAGGAACAGCGAATTTTGATAGTCCTAAGTAACTGCTGCTATCTAGAACGCCACACCTTCCTGAACATAGCAGAACATTTTGAGAAGCACAACTTCCAGGGAATAGAGAAAATAACACAGGTAAACAGGTTAATGTTAAATGGACAAATCTGTTGTTTTGCCAGCTTAGTTTCCAAACTGTTTTCTCAGCACCATTTTCCTTTGCTTTCCTGTCTTGTTCCTCTACTTGCCCTCCCACCTCTGCTCCTTCCCGCCTCAGCCCACTGCATGTGAATGATTCCCCTCCTCCTCACAACTCACCTTCAGTCCTTCATTTCATACTCTTTTCTTTTCTCTAGGTCAAAGCTCTCTCAAGATAGAGCTGGTTTACTCCCCACCTAGAGTGTTCCAAAGTGAGGAAAGAAAATAATGAGAGAAAGGGAACAAACCCAAATCTTTAAGAATGATCTCAGATGAGACTCCTTTTGGGTTAAAGCCTTTAGACACAGCCAGCAGGAACTCCCTGAGCCTGCAGAAAAACCTCCTCCTGCTTGTTCGCGTCTCCCCCCCTCTCCTCCTTTCCCTGTGACCACAAGGTGCTTGGCTGTACCTCCGCGGGCGTGCCGCATGCGCTCACACACCCAGCCCACACAGCTGTAGGTGTTTGACACATGACCTGGAAGAGCACACTCCCCCACTCTCCGATCACTGCACGTAGAAAGTTAGGCAGAAATGGGTCCTGTAGAAATTAATGGAGTGGTTGTTTTTGAATGTTATACTTTCTTGTTTATATTTTTTTCAAGTAAGCAGACAAGGGAAAAATGAAGTAACCTTGTTATTAAACGTTGGTTGGTTCCTGGGCAAAGGTTTATCAGATTTCTGAGTAAAACTATGCTAGAACCACTTTTTAATGTCATTACAGTTTTCTCATTGCAGAGAATAAGAAAGATAATGATCTTGTTAATCTTACAATCAACATGTACTCTTAATGGATTATATATTTTTTACAGTGGTGGTTCCAGTTCATGAACTACATTGGGATTTTTTTTTCAAAGAATGAAAATGTCAAAGTGGGCGGCTCTGTCTTGTTTTCCTGCCTTTTCGTAAAGATTAATCATCCTGATGAGAAATGTTGTGACTTAAGGCTTTAGTGGCAAATGTCTAGTCTATTTCCAGAAATTTTTGTGTTGAGAATTGCAAGATGCTATCTTGCAGTAAAAAGTTATTATTTGTATTATAGAAAGTAGGCACTTTGTTTTCATACAGCACCACAAATATATTTATTGGAGAAATTTTATTTATCATGTGAAATGATTAGGAATTGCATATAAGAGAAGCAATAAGTTTGGTTTCTCTAGGTTTTTGTGAAGTAGTAAGTAGGAACTGTCTGTTGCTTCAGCTTGTATCATTAAGAATTAGAATCAAATTGACATTAAAAAAGGTTGTTGATGTTCTTCCTTGACTTTGTCTAGATTATTTTGATACCAAGATAATATGAAGAATGTGGGATTACAACTTAGAATAAGTGATGGACTCTTTTTTCACTCAAAATTTGGATTTTTTAAAATTGACTTTTGAATATTTTGAAATTATTCAGTTGTGTTTAAAATGAATAGACAGTAAACTAGATTTAGATTATAGCATTTGTGTTGATTGTATTAATTTGTGAATCTATTGTGTGAATCTATTAATTTCATGGTGCCAACCAAGTAAAATATATGTCTTGCATTAAAGAAAAAAGGCTACTGACTGCCGTTATTTTTCATAGTTTCCTTTTCAAATGACAGATAACTCTAGAGGCATAGATTCCAGAAAAATTGCAGGGCACAGTAACAATGGAAGGCTTATCCATTCTTCCTGTGTTTCTGCTCTTGGTGATGATGGTCCGTTATAGACCTTCTTGTGTGGTGTTGCTGGACACCAGACACTCTGAGACCTCCTCCTGGTGTGGTGCAGTGGTTGGCCAAGTGTTTCTTCCAGGTGTGTTTCCTCCTGCTTTTTCATTGGTAGGAGAAGGGCAAAAATGACTAGTTTTTAATTCCCTTCACCTTGTTCCTCACCTTCAAAAATAGAGTTGCATTAATCTTAATATAGAAAGAATATACCAAAATAACTACATTTTTAAGGAGTTTATTATAATTTAATGATCAGTCAAAATGTAATGATCAATGACATTAGTCCTAGAAATATTTTTTCCAGTGATACATTTTTCCTTCTTATAAGAATAAGACCCAACCATTATTTTTAAAAAGAAACAAATACTGAGAAGCCTAATAAAAAATAAAAATCATCTATAATGTACCAGCCAAAGATAACACTATTTTTGTATTTATAGTAATCTATATTTAATATACCATATGCCTATACCAATATATGTTATATAAGTACAAAACATTTTTCTGAATTCAGTTTACATTGAATTATTTTTCTATTGAATATTTCATTACTTTTCCATTTTTATTAAATTTTTTTTGTAAAATATGAGTTTAATGACCTTATAATATTTGTTAACGTGGATATAACATTTTTTAAAACCTCTCCCTTACCTGGAACCTTTGTTATTTTCAATTTTTTGTTGCTCTTGTTACTGAGAGATGAAAATAATATTTGATCATATGTGTAATTACTTCCTCACAATAGACTCCTAGATGCATACTCATAGCGCCAAAGACTCTCGGTAAATGTTGCCAGATTGTTTTTTGGAAGCTGAGATCATCATATTTCTGCCTTCATTTTTATTTACAGTTTCTAATTTGATAGGTAAAAATACTCTTTCATTGTATTTTAATTTACATGCCTTTCACTATTTAGAAGGTTAGCATTTTTTCTTCTGTTTATTGACTATTTATATTCTAGAAGAGCTAATTCTGAAGGCACTTAGTTAAGAAATAAAGTTTTGCAATTTAGGTGTGCAAACCAAATCTGCTACCAGTCAGATTTTTTGAGGCCCTTTAAAAGGGAAAACCAGAACTGTATAGTTAATAAGCCTTAACATATAACTTTACTGTGGCTGCTGTAATGATATAATTCTAGGGAATTTTTTTATATGTATAAAATGCTCTCTTTTAACCTATCCTAGTCTTAAAAAAAAAAACCAGATATCTAATTTAGAGTTTGCATAATTGCAAATTTTCAACTGACTTAGGAGTGTAGACATTAAACACATTTGACATTAAATTCTTGATAGAAGTTTTCTTTTAAGCCTCGAACTCTCCTTTACAAACTCCAACATAAAGGGTGTGAAAAGGACAGCTTCTTTTTCTTGTATGTCTTTGGGTGATCCTTACATACAGTTTACAATCAATTTTCAAGATTTTTGTGTTGATTGAACCATATCTACCATATTTTGCCTATTTGTTTATTTTTAGTTTAATCGGATACAGTTCTTAAATACAGTTCTTATTTTTGATTTAATTGAATATAATTCTTAAATTTCAAGTTTGAAACCATATGAATTCATAGATGTGAGTACAGCTTTGTATCCTTACCCTTATTATTTGTATGTATATTTGTTTCATTTTTCCCATCTCTTCATAAATATGTTAATAAATTAGCTAATTTTTGTTTAGCAGCTATTTTTATGTAATAAATTAGTTATTAGTCAGGGACAAAAAAATAATAAATTAGTTGTAAGTTAATCCATTTTGGAGTTTAGGATCTAATAGACCAAAATTATAAGTTGATCAGATGTGTCCCTGCCTGCTAAACAGCTTAATTTTAGACCCTGGGTTTTTTGTTTTGTTTTTTTTTTTTTTTTCTTTGAGACAGAGTCTCACTCTGTTGCCCCTGCTACAGAGTGCCGTGGTGTCAGCCTAGCTCACAGCAACCTCAAACTCCTGGGCTCAAGCAATCCTCCTACCTCAGCCTCCCGAGTAGCTGGGACTACAGGCGTGCGCCACCATGCCTGACTAATTTTTTCTATTTTTGGTAGAGACGAGGTCTCGTTCTTGCTCAGAATGGTCTCGAACTCCTGATCTCAAGCAGTCCTCCCACCTCAGCCTCCCAGAGTGCTAGGATTACAGGCATGAGCCACCCAGCCCAGCCTTGGACTTTTTTTTAGCTGCCTCAAGTTCCTTGTGCAAACCAGAAGGTAAAAAGAAACATATGTAGAAAGATACAGGAGTAAGGATTCTAGGACCTTTTAATTTATAAAGTATCACGTGGCTTCCCCAGTACAGAAAGTAATGCAGAAAGCCTTTGCAAGTAAGAAAGGGTACTGGATGCTGCTTTGGGACGTGAAGGAAAGGTTCCATGTTCCTGTCTTTGGAAGGTTGAAGAGGTGCAGGAAATAAACGAGTGAAACAGCCCGTTCTCCAATTGGGTTGGGTGTGGCGTTCTTAAATCACAAACCCTGAACCTTAGCAGGTAAGATTCCACATAAATAGTCTCTCACCATCCTCTTCGTACTTCCACTCTCTGGCATGCGGTCTGTTTGTTTCCTCTTCCCACTTGTGTGGTGTCTATAGGTGATTCCATCTGCCTGCAGTTTCACCCTTGTGGGTATCCTGCTGACTACGCCAAACTGCAGGGCAGGAGTAGTTGAGGCAGGCCCATGAGATCAGCTACTTCTCCCCACAGAGCCAGGTACCTAAGATAGGGGTCGCCACAGAGGATAAGGAAATTGATAGGCAACAGAGAGAAATGAAAGAATACACAGAGACTAAGGTATAGTTTATAGTTATATAGATATAGATATAAAGATCAGATAAAACACAGCAGGGGGCACCTAGGGGACTGGCGGATCTCCACAACCACCAGCCAAATGGTTAGATTTGTACAGGTTTTTATAATCACAGACATCGATTATCAGTCATCAGGGTAACATATTTGCATGTCAGGGAATACAGTTGCTAGGGGATACAGGTAGTGGGTTAGGGTCAAAAGTCCTCTCAAGGGGCTTCTAATCTATCTAGGTGAACAAACAGGTACAAAGTTTTTCAGGGACTAGTTTCTAAGTTCTAAGAAGTAGTTGTCAATAACAAAGGTAAAACAAAAGTGGTATAGTGACTCAATATACCTTTGATTAGTTATGGTGAACTTAAAGGTAGACAGACAGGAGAGAGCAGGAAGCCCATCTCTAATAAAACAGGTTGTTTATAACCACCAGGGCGCTTCTCTGGGCAAAGTGCACTCATTGTCTC